CAGGGGGGGGGGAGGGTAAGACCTGAGGGAACTCCAGGTGATGCGCATGATCAGGGAGATAAAAGGGGCTGAGTTCTCTGGAGGGAGAATTCAACGTTGGAATCAATATGGCGTATGACGTCACCCGTTGGACGAGTGAAAAGAGCCGAGTCTGGTCGGACGATTCGGCTGAAACTCGGATACAACTGTTATTCCTCGGTTGGAATAAAAAAAACTAGGGGGTTGGGGGGTGGGGGTTGGAGTTGTCAGTGAGGTGGTGAGTTTTAACAGTCGGTAGTCGGTCTCGGTCGAGCATGGAGTCAGCACGTGCAACAAACGTTAATGTCGACCTTGCACTGTGTCATTCACGTACACAAGAGATTAATAATGACGAGGACGACGACGAGACTCACAGTAAATTGACGAGGAGGTGGACACCCAGTGGGTGGGGCACTGTCAGTCATATGTCGGTTTTTCGATTTATTTTTATTATTTTGTGTGTTGTTTTGGTTGATGGGGGTACGGGGGTACAGGGGAGAGCTGAGGTATTTACTAATGCTTTTCTCGTTAAAATGGTACAACCTGCTGAGAGGAGTGTTGCTGATCGGGTCGCGATCAGGAATGGATTTGTTAACCTGGGACCGGTGAGTTTAGGCTGTGTTTTAGGTGTTTGCATGCTTTTTACGGATTTTTTTTTTAACGTTTGTGGATGTTTTTGGAATTTAATGTCCTGTAGTTTTTGTGGGATTCTCGGGGAAATTGGGGTTTTTTTAGGAAAAAAAATCACGATTTTTTAACCAGCTGTTTCAAGGTTCTCAACAACGCATGACCCTTCGCTCGAGGGCTGTTTAATTTTTCAAAGAATTTCTGAATGAAAGCGCGAGGGTCCAGGAAATCCTTCGGATATTTAATTTACTGGTGAAATTATTCCGATGGGATTCCTGGAAGTCTTTCCCGAATTTCATTACATACGAATTTCACAGAACTTTCACTTCAATTTTGCAATTACAAAATCAAATATTCATGGTCCATAGAAATTCCTAATAACTTGAGGAATTTATGCAGTTGGAATTGGAATTACTCGGAATTCCCAGTGAAATCTGAAATTTCAGATTTTCTTTTAAGATGCGAGATTTCTCGGTCACAGACCCGCAGATGGATAGGAATATCTTCTTTCCTCCAGGTTGTTATGCAACCTCACGGATCACGTAACAGAAATGTTGCGGATTCCCATAACGGATTGTACTATTATCCGTCAGGTCTTTGAAATTGTTATTCAACACCTAGAGGAAGAAAACCCCGAGTTGATGTCAAAGCAATTGTTGATACCACCTATTCTGCAGGAGCTTTCAACTCCATAAAAAAAAATTCCCAAACCCATCAAAATGACTAAACAATTCCTAACTATCCGAGTTAATGAACCAATAAATTAATCTCCCGAGAGTTTATTTACATTTTGGAAAATAATGTACTATTGTAAAATCTGTTTAATCTGTTTAAAATTCTGATAATATTCCGACATGTACATTATTTACCTGACCCTCGACAACGAGCTCGTAAATACTCCTAGACGAGTGGTCCATTTTACGTGATACAGAACCTACGGTATTTTCTCGGGGGTACGACGACAGAACTAATTTTCATACCAATGAGAAAAGTACTGGGGAGGAAAATTGCTGGATGATGAGGCCGGGGGCCAGAGCCAACTTGTTCCTCACTCGTTTCAACTCCTCAGTCCCCGGATAAACTAAATTACCCCATTACCATATACATCCGTTCTCATCACTTTATTCAGATAAATTTTCGACTCGTGCAAAGTGAATTCTACGAGTTAATGCGAATGTTTAATTTATTTTTATTCACCCTCCGGCAATACAGCCAATGAATTTTTATCGAGTTTACATTACACGGGCGTTTCCTCGTTTTAATTAGCGCAGTTCATCAGGAATTTATACCGTTTACCCTGGATTTTCAGATTTTACTTTTAGTCCGTCAATTTTCAGAGGATATTTTTCAATATTATTATTGTGGCAACGGGGGCGTTAATGATTTTACCGTTTCGGGAACTTCCTGTCTTGGCAGGTGTAATTAATTGATCGTTAGCGCAGGGAAACATGATTATCAGTTCAATCTTCCGATTTGTCGATTTATCGGTGAATTCATGGGGGAAAAATTCTCCTGACTCCAAATTATTCGATTTTCAATGCAACATCCGCGAGAAATTAGTTCGCGTGTGATCCGGTCGTCTATAATAAATTATTTTGTTGTTAATTCATTGAAAATTAATTAGATTAAATTATTTCAAGTGAAGATTCAATTATTTGGGAGTTAATCGTAATTACAATTGAGAATTCTAGGACTCGGGGAATTTTCGTTTGAGGGAAATTTTCGAAAAGTCTTGAAGTATTTTTTTTTTTCTCTTTGTACTGTAGTTATTGATAGACATACGGGGCATAAAGGTTTTCATCGGGGCTAACGACCTCCTAGTTTCACTTAGCAACTGCCTAGCCCGCATTATTTGCGTGGCACATGTCCAACGAACATTTACTCTCATACCGATTTCAAGGATTTATGAACGAGCATTTAATATTTCACGTTAACTCATCGTAAAATGAATTCCCCATAAAATTCTATTCAATCCCAAAAATTTTCCAGACGTCTCATTAAAATTTTGTTAATCTAGATTTATAATATAAATTTTATTTTGAGTTATTCATAAAAACCCGCGATTTTCCTCAATTTTTTAATTCACAATCCAGAAATTCCGCGTGCATTCCATACGTTTCCGTAGAGTACAATCTCCTGGTAATTCAAAATTTATGTTTTTTTTTCATTATTCCATAGAATTGTTTTACTCTCCATTCCACCTGGTTGCAAAAGTTTCCTTTGTGCCTTCAGTGGTGCAGCTCGAGTTTAAAATACCCCTGACGTTGAATGGATGATGAATTAAAGGGCATTGAATCGCGAAAAGGTACCTTTTCATTTTCATCACACCTGACACTTTCTTATCTCGTTCTTTCCCTCTTTTATACGGTTTTTTTTCAACCGTTTGTAGTCCATTCCGCCATCGATTCCGTCGGTCTACTCTTGGGTGGGAAGAGAAAAAAAAAATTTCAGCTTGAAGAAGGGCCGGGGTGTATAAACCGACGTATTGATGGCCTCTGGTGGACGACATCGATCGTCACGGCTCGTTGGAAAGATAAAAAAAAAATTGCGAGGTTTTATCTCAAGTGCGAGGGGAGATACGACAATACGGAACTATCCCGTCATCATTAACACGTCGTTATCGTTTTCTGATTCATCGCTGTATTTTTTATGGGGAAATTTCGAGATTAATTTGAGGAAGACGCGATATTCTCGACACACTGATAAATCGAATGATTACCGAAAGCCGCAGGATTTAAACGCGTTACGACCGCGGGGTAAACTCTACGATTTTGATACTCGTTACTGTCACGGTAATTCTCAGTACCGAGAGCAAACAATTGCGAGAGCTTTCCCCGGAGTCTCCTGGTGCTCCACATGGAACCCCTAGGGACACAAACTTTCCGTGGACCACCGACAGCTCGACGAGCTTCACCTTCGGGAGAAAAAAAAATCCTAGCTTTTGAGGGATTCAGTCCCACAATTTCAGGGTGCAATGGCTGAGATTTCTGTCAATATTTCAGGTACTTGGCAGCGATACGGAGTACCATTTTATCCACAGGGCATTGCCACATGCCAGGAGCAAGAGATCGGTGCCACACATGAGACGACTCAAGATCGATCCTCTGGTGAGTCCTCAAAAATCCCCAGAAAATCATGAATAGGATAAAAACTCCTTTTTCAATTTTCTCAAACAAGTGAAATACAAACAGTTATTCCCATTATTCGTCCTTTTATCGTGACTGAGACTCTGCGATTGAAGTTTCATTACAAGGGATTCTACCTTGGTGGAAAGTTCTGCCATTCAGGACAGAGGTTTGCATTGTATCCAAAGAAAACTCGAGTTTCCCTGATACTTTTTACTCAGAGCCCAATAACAGGCTTCGAAAAAGCTGAATAGAGTCAACTCAAGTCCAGGAAAATCCTTAATCCATGAGCGAACGGTGATGGCAACTTGACGATGCAATTTACCCCGTATATCCAGAAAGATTTTTCAGCTCGATATAAAACTGAACTCCTGACGTAGCGATGGATTATTAATTATCGATTTAATCGAGGAGGGATTATCCAGTAATTAATTTCAGATTCACACAGCTGTGCAGCAGACGGGATTTAAACGAGTGAAAAGGGGGTACAGACCCCTGTCGGTGGACAATCTGGTGCCCCCGTACGATCAAAAATTGATGAAGGAACAGGCGCGTCAGGATCCCACTGATCCGTACTTCCAGTACCAGTGGTACTTGAAAAATACTGGACAAAATGGCGGTAAACCCAAGTTGGATTTGAACGTTGAGGCTGCGTGGGCGCAGGGTGTCACAGGGAAAAACGTCACAACCGCAATTATGGATGATGGTGAGCCGAAATAACACCACTGCCTTCACAAAACCAATTAACCCCTCCTAATCACTAATCCCCATTCAACTTGATCGTCCAATAATTTTTTTTCCGCTTGGCATGACGATTTTTACACCTGGATTATTTGTCGTGATTAGTCGGCGATGACCTTGAATTATTGCAATGATTCCAATGATTCCAATTATTTCAATGATTCCAATGATTCCAATGATTCCAATGATTCCATGATTTCCAATTATTCCAATGATTCCAATGATTCCAATTATTCCAATTATTCCAATTATTCCAATGATTCCATGATTCCAATGATTCCAATGATTCCAATGATTCCAAT